CTTAATCGTTAAATCAAATTCATTTTAAGATGTTTATATTCCCTGCATTCATCTCTGCATTCATTTGAAATAAAGTCCAACTGATGACAACACACAGACCACAAAAGATCTACCAAAATGCTTTACAGTTATCAGTGTCTTCCTCACCACACTATAAGAAAAAAAAACCTGCAGAAAATTGGAAAAAGTACTGGTAATTTTCCAAGTATACAGATATTTCCTTTAACCTTAAAACACAACACCATGCAATGCAACGTAATTCAAATACGGGGAAAACACCTGTGAAAAATCAATGGAAAACTTTCCTTCATATGAACACAGTTCATTGGGCGCTATTTTTACAAACTTTTCTTGGAGTGCAGGTCTCCTTGGTGGACCTTTCTTGTTGGAATGTAATTTGTAAACGGTCTTGCCCTGGCTGCCATTCTATGCTTTATGGGAACTGCACACTCTAATCTCTTCTTCTTCTTGTCTTTCTACTAGAATTGTTTCTTAGTTGCAACCACACCCTGCAGGACCATGTCTTGATGCATGATGACTTTCTCAAAAGTTGTAAAATCTTTTCAAAACATCTCCTGTGAATCTGTTCAGTAAGGAAGTGACTTTAACAAAAAAAGACAAACAGATGCCAACTTTTTGTGTTTCTACTGTATTTTCTGACTTCATCCAGTCTAGCTTCTTAATATATCTTTATGAATCACTGAACACCTTGAAAATCCAGTTTGGTGGGCTATTGCATGCTGTCTTGTCTTGCTATACTGCAAAATATAGCAATCAGCCGAGGTCTTTTATTACATGGCTTATTGCTTTTTTACCTGCATCAACAGCAATAGAGATATAGATGTTCAATAATAAGTCCATTCTGAACAATAATCAGAATACAATCTGTCTGTTAAGTGATATAGTTCATTATTTTGACTAGAGCTTGTTTATAGTTGCCAAGCAATGCAGTAACTTGCTGTGTTAAAGTGATAGTTCACCAAAAAATGAAAATTCTGTCATTAATTACTCACCCTCATGTCGTTCCAAACCCGTAAGACCTTCGTTCATCTTCAGAACACAAATTAAGATATTTTTGATGAAATGTGAGATCTCTCAGACCCTGCATAGACAGCAACGCAGCTATAATGTTCCCAGGTCCAGAAACGTAGCAAGGACATCG